CGCATCCGCGTCAGAGAAAGGTAGAGAAGTCTTTCAGCCCTTCCCAGTCTTCACATCCGAAATGCCAAATTTTGCGGCCAGTGCGAGTTTCTGCTGCCACAGCGGATTCCGACCTCGACGACACCGTGGTCTGAGTTACCCATGGGAGACAGGACATCAGTGCTGTAAGGGACATTTGACTTTTATCATTTAATTACCCGTTGTTACCGGGATCGGAAGCCTCTTAATGATAGAATGACTTTCACTAATACTAAAGACGTTACATTTACAACCCCTAACCCCTAAAACCCCCAAGATTCAACCCGTACAAAAAAGTTTGAGCGATTGTTATTTTTTTTCGTGTTTTTGCTTCTAGCTCCGCCACCTGCAGGCCGCTATTCAAAAACTACAACTACTTTCCGAAAATGGTCAGGACTGTCGAAACGTCAAAAATGCGATTTTATTAGTTTTTGGTCTCTTTCCCCGCCGCCACTAGATCGATTTTCAAAAACTACAAAGCAACCGACAAACAGTCATACCTTTGGAAATTAGTAAAAGGTTTTTTTGTGATGTACACTACTGTTCAAAGGTATTTGAACACCCAGAAAGCCAGAAAACTGATGGAGGCTATTAAAGAAAACATTACAATATCTATACTAAGTGACATATAAATCCGAACACCCAGTTTAAATGGTTTTATTTTAATAAAAGTTGGTGAATTTATTTATCTTACTGTAAATAACAAGTGAAAAGATTTTCAGCCTTATCAGTTGGTTTTTATACTGCTTTTTTTCAATTCACTAACGCTCTAAAAATGAATATTTCAGCCGCAGTAAAGAGTCAACGTTGGCGGATTTTGGTTCTTGACATCCTTTACGATCGGTTACGATGCCTAGAGTACTGAGACCTGTACGATTTCGTCAACTTAGTGAGTTTGATAGGGGCCGTATAGTGGGATTTCGGGAAGCTGGACTTTCTTTTCGGGCAATTGCAGTTAGAGTGCAAAGAAGTGTAGACACTGTGGTTAGGTGTTGTCAGGCATGGCTTCGAGAAGGCCGTACGCAAAGAGCAAGGGGCACTGGACGCCGCCGTAGAACAACAGACCGTAAAGATCGCCGCCTAAGATTATTGGCCTTAAGGGACCGTTTCTCCACTACCAGGTCCATTGCAAATGAATGGTTTGCAGAACACGGAAGACCTATTGGCATGCGAAGTGTTTACCGACGAATGAGAAGTTTTCGCTTGTTTTCATACCGGCCACACTGGGCCCTCCCTTTAACCCGAGAACACCGACGTAATCGCCTTGAGTGGTGCAGACAACGGTCACTCTGGGATCAGGAATGGAACAGTATTGTCTTTAGTGACGAGTCTCGATTTTGTTTAGGCATGCACGATGGTCGTGTCAGGGTTAGAAGGCGACGTGGTGAAAGGAGGAATCCACAGTTTTTTGTTGAAAGACATGTTCATCACACTGTTGGAGTTATGGTTTGGGGTGCTATAGCTTATGGTTCCAGGTCACCTTTAATCTTCATGGCAGATCCAACTTTCCAACAAGATAATGCCCGACCACATGTTGCAAAAGTCACAATAGACTTCTTTCAACATAATGATGTCACATTGTTACCATGGCCACCAAGATCTCCCGACTTATCCCCAATCGAGCACATGTGGGATATGATGGGTAGGAGATTGCTCAATTTGCAACGTCCTCCTCAGACTCTAGAAGCACTTCGAGAGGAGTTGGTGGTTGTCTCGAATGAGATACCACAGGAGGACATTGACCACCTGATCAGAAGCATGCCTAGGCGCGTTTGAGAATGCGTAGCACATCAGGGTGCATCCACACATTATTAAAGGTCAAAGGGCTTTAAAGCAGTGCAATCATTTTGAAATTTTGATCGATTACTTATTATGCTTCATTAAGTACTTATACAAAATGTTATTAAAATAAAACCATTTAAACTGGGTGTTCGGATTTATATGTCACTTAGTATATTTATAATCAAAGTAATGATATTTTTGACTCATCAATATCTCCTCCTATACTTTTAATTACAGCCTCGCAAATGATGGGTAAACGCGCAACGTGGATCGGGTTATTTTTCGCCATTCTTCTTGTCATATTCTCCATTAGTGTTCTTGAGATTTCCGTACTAGTCTGTTCAGTTCATCACACAGCAACTCTATCGGATTCAAATCCGGCGATTGGGGAGGCCATTACATGACTTTTTTGTTCTTCCTTTGCTTCCAAAAATTTTTTACAGAGTTTGGTGGTGTGTTTGGAACTCATAATTCAATTCCGATGCTTATAACGGGTGATTTTTTAAGAGGTATAGGATTTGATTTTCAAAAAAACACAAAAAATTTGAAAAAAACGATTAAATCTTTGGCTTCAATTCTTGCACCAGCTGTATCTTATAAGGTTTTACACCCAAATCCTGTCGCAAAATTTTCCACGTAGTGGAGTAACAGAGGCCCAATTGTCATCACTACCACTGGCGGATACAGCCGCAATATTTTC